ATTAACTTCAGGTAATGCATTTCTAGGGGGAAAGAGTGAGTGCATTTTGTCCCTACGCTAGGTCATAAGAGCAAATATCCCGAATAATTCGTACGTAGTAGGTAGCTTAGAACATTTCTGAATCAGGCAGACGAAATAATTGGTCAGTTACGGCGTTTTTCTTTCAAATTCATTGCATTCAAAACGGTGTTAAAACGGCTTCGTACGTGTATTTATGTGCGCTTTCGGACACGGTTAGCGCGAACGCGACTGTGGCACTCTTCAGCATGGGGGATATACGTGCCAAACGAACGAAGGACATCTGGAAGCCAAGAAAGACGGCAAGAACTAGGCAGTAACACTGGATAAGTAGCTCCTTGTGCATGCCGACGATCAAAATAAATTGAAGACCACGTAATATATTTCGATTTTAAATAAGTAAGTGCTGCTTTATTCTTTCTGCTATGTGCCGTCATGCGTGTTATACGTTCAGAACATCACCCGTACGCTCGAAAGCTTTGATAACAAGTCCCCGATAAAAGCTGCGCGGCAGAGAAACCAATACACAGAGACACCTTTCATAGCCCATGTACTCTATTTTTTACGTTTTGAATGTTTTTATCCGCTCATTAAGATGGACGACGGGGTCATTTTTATGTAGCGACAGGACTGGCACATTGGCAATACATAAGCGTCACCTAAATGCTGGCGAACCTTGAGCACGTTTTATAATAAAACTTTGGTTGGGGGCTAGTTGTTTTATATCGATTAGAAGGTTAAAAGGCGCGAACAAAACGGGACGAAAAAAGACACAGGTACGACACGGACAGACGCGGAAATTCCTTTCGAATGTTACTTTGCTTTAAATCGTCGCTTGTTTTTACACACCTGCTGTGGAACACAGGCTTGGGCCTGAAATATAGCGAAGTTAGACATCGTTCACTGATGAACAAAATGCGCTGACTAAAGCATTACACTTTTACAGTGTTAATTAAGGTACATACCATGGGTACGGCCCAAATAACTAAGCTGTTCCATGATATTTTCCGGCAAAGAGACGAAATGCGCGCGCGTGTTTTCCCATAGGAATGCACTGGAGTACCGCAAAAGTAGACTGGTCGCTGTCTCCTTCAATTTGCATCACGGAAGTTGCATAAACACTAGCGCCAGTTGAATCCTTAGCGTACATTATAATAACTCTATGGTACAAACTAAATCTGATTCTTTTTCAGTATCGATAATATATTATCATAACGAGTCTCAAAAAGATTGATCAATATAATTATCTATACATTTTTAGAGCGCAGCTCTTAGGGGCCCGTTTCCAGCCTGAGCGGCGTCGGCGTCGGCGTCGCCGTCGGCGTCGGCGTAACCGGGGGGGGGGGGGTCACGTGACCCCCCCCCCCCCCCGAGGTCACGTGACCACCCGCAGGTGACGTGACCCCCCTCAGTACCCTTCCCTACTCCTCCTCAAGAGCTGCGCTCCAATTCGGCGTTACAGGGAGTTGTAAACGGCTTTCATTTTTTTTTCATTTATACTGAAGGACAAGCTGCCAACCGCTTGCTAGTAAACCTGGTCAATGCCCAATTAAGGCTAACCGATATCGCGTCATGTTGATCCTCACTTTTAAGGCCGGTTCACACATGCAGCGGAGCGCTAAGTTAGCGCTCATGTGGCGCTTCCTAACGCGTGATGTAGCGCTCCGTTAGCGCTTCAGTAGCGCTCTGTTAGCGCTTTGTTAGCGCTCTGTTAGCGCTACAGAAGCGCTCTGCACGCTCCTTGTGCCGTGCTTGCTGCTGCGGAACAGCGCGTGCACGGCGATTCTTTTGTTGTTGTTTTTCCTTTGGCATTGAAAGAAGAGGAAGTAAAACAGCCGTTCTCCAAGCAAAGGGTCGGGCAGGCGACCCAGAGTCATGGACTTTGAGCGACTAATTGATTGGGTACGACCTCATCGCTTTCTATTCGATATGCGTGACCCTGGTTTCAAAGACATGCAGGTAAAAACAATCGCCTTCGAAAGAGCTCTGTGTCTCGGTCCCTCAGCCTAGGAACAAGGTTCACTAGGTATACCTGTCGGTATCTCGGTGGCGAAAGATGTCGCGCACCCAGAAGGCTCTTCTGGGTGTTAAGCCGTCCACACACATATGCACTAATCGCGTATGTAAGAGCATTGGTCGCATTCCTATTTCAGTATCCCACATGTCCGCCATGGTGCTGCTGATTCACACCCAAGCACAAGAACCGGAACTGAGTGCACGCGCTAATCCGCAGCACCGCGGTACAAGAAGCGCTACTAAAGCGCTAACACGGCGCTACTGAAGCGCTAACAAGGCGCTACTGGAGCGCTAACAAGGCGCTACTGGAGCGCTAACAAGGCGCTACTGGAGCGCTAACAAGGCGCTACTGGAGCGCTAACAAAGCGCTACAGAAGCGCTAATCGCGCGCTGTGTTAGAACTCAGTCACGCGCCAGGAAGCGCCACATGAGCGCTCCTTGGAGCGCTCACGTAGCGCTAACTTAGCGCTCCGCTGTATGTGTGAACAGGCCTTTAAGGGCAAATACTAGGGATCCGAACCATCAGAAGCAATAATAGAATAGATACATTCTAATCAGCCTACTCAACTCAGCTGGGACTGTGGGCAAACTATTTATATAACAGTATACACCAACCTACACCACCGCTGACAACACGCCACTGCGGTGCCGCTGCTATCAGCCCCGCGCATGCGCAGAAGGCGCTTCAAGCGATTCTGGTTTCTGCGGACACCCGGTGCCTCATCTGGGCAAATACGGACTCGTTCGTAAGCCGCAGGTTCGTCTCTGTGTTAACCCTTTGTCTGTCCTTTCATATATAGAACAGGACTGATTTCATGATTGGCGAACTGATGGATGTTCAAGTTGAATATTTGATGGATTGATTGATCAATTGACTTCTTTACTGACTGGTTTTTATGACTCTCCACTGCGATTAATAATGAACACTGTTATCACATAAATTCTATCAAAGGTGGCGACAAACGGCGTACCGAAACAAAATGACACCCAAAGAATAAACTCGTCAAAATAACTTCAAATATATTACTGGTCGAACATCTTGGAAACACGTGAGACAGAAAAAAAAATGAGAACGATCTATACATGGTCGTTTCCCTTTTTGTTCCACGGTCTCGGGTTTTCAAGATAGCGAAACTTCTCCAGGTTGCTGGCGCCTACTTTGCTTTTTCTATCTATCACTCGACGTTCAAGCAGACCGTTTTCTTGTGTTTTTTTTTTTTTTTCATGCTAGTCGTTAAACTATTTCCCAGCACGAAATCCTACATCCTCTTTCCTAGTTTCTGCCCGAGATTAATGATCATAAGCAGACGCCTTAATAAACAACTGAGGAGACCATTTTCTCAATTGCGCTTCTTGCCCTTTATAAACTATTCGGAGTGTGCGCTTCGTTAACGTCTTAAAACATACTGCAAAAGTAAAAAAAAAAAAATACATGTAGCGTTAGTTTACGGATATAACGCACGCGATGGTTCCCACTTACCTTCATACTTAATAATTGCGCACTCCCGCTCTAACATGTTTGTTCCTCCCCCTATTAGCCATAATACGGCAGCCCTCGAGCGAGAGTACGCACTTCGCTTTGCCGTCGAAGAAACCCTTGGGTGCGTTATAAACTCATCTTTTCCTATCGCCTGGAATGTTTTCCAGCTCGGCTGTTCTTGGAAACGAGCACATTTTTCTTTTCTCGTTCATTTTAAGTATTTTTTTTTCAGGTCCGCTGCTCTACAAATGCTTTCTTTTGAATATGTGTCTCTCCTTTTAAAGCATAGAATACTTTTTTTTAACGGAACCCCCAGTCCAAAACACTTTTCAGTCCGTCCGTCCATCAGTCCGCGTATATCCCGCTAAATTTAACAGAAAAATTTACATCACGTAAATTATACACCAGTTGATTTTTTCCGCTAAAATTAGTGGGATAGTTTATGTGACACGACCTGACGTCACGATATCTTTAGACCAATTTAGTTTCTCCGCTAAATGTAGTGGAAATATTGACGTTTTTAGTTTCCCCGCTAAATTTAGTGCTGAAATTTATGTCACGCGTGACCCGATGTCACGAACCCCAAACACTAATTTTGGTTTTGATGTAACGTGTTTACTTTTTGATTGACTCCATCTGACCAAACGATTTTTTTTTTTTTTTTTTTACAGTTGAAGTGTCTGGAGTTTTTCGCAAAAATAATTTATATAGCGGTAAAAAAAAGAAGAAAAACACCAAACAGAGAAGTGTTTCTTCTGCCACCACGGCGCAATCAAGAAAGGGGGAGATGTAAATATGACGGAACCCCTACTTTCTGTAAAATTTGTCGTCCCGGTGGCCTTTTGCCAGACCCCACTGCTGAAGTAGGTGTGAACAATTTAGTCGAGAATATAAAGGAGCAAAATCTCCCTAATTCGTTATCATATCAACTGCGCTGATTGCTGTTGGAGGATATCGAGCGTAATTCTTATATGCGCATGCACTGGAATTTGCTGAATCCTGTTTAAGCTAAGGACGAAACCTGCAAGTTACAACCGCACAAAAAACGTGACTCGGGAGTTTATTATCATTTTAAAGGAGACGTTTGAGAATAGGGAACCAACCTTTCATTTCCATTCCACATCCGTCGAGCTGCGTGAAATGCAAGAAAAAAAAACAAAGAACAAAGACGTCAAGCAAAACTGATTCATATACTCATGACATCACTAATGTGCGACCTATGTTTGTGATCTAAAAAACAACTTTATTTGTGTTATTTACTTATGTTAATAAACACGAACACAAGGATCCAAAGTCCATAACCCTTCCAGTAGGCTTGGATATAAATGCGCGAGGGTGTAACCACTTTTGCATGATGCACGTTAAGGACCTCAGACAAGCAGTTGTGTTGTAGCCGCCACTCTTCCATATATGACAAAGATGCCACATGCAATTTTTCAACAGACTATACTCAATGGATAGTTTTTGTTGTCAACAAACTTGACTCTTAGACAATGCTTAAACGTAGCGGACATTTACCTCGATTGAAGAGCACTTTCCGTCGGAATTTGCCCAGCGTCAGCGCGATGAAGACGATTAAGAAAGCAGCTGCAGCGCTGAGGACGGCGGCCCACAATGTCGTCGACCCTAGGGCCCAGGCTGCTTCTGCATTCCTCAGTCAAAATAATAATAATAATTCCATTTCAGTTATACATTATTCAAGGATAAAATGATAATAATCTCTCATTTGCCACAACATTGGTTTAACACACGAACAGACACGGCTGAACGGACAACTCAAACTATACAAGTCACAATAATTTGTTATCGCCAAGGTATTGAGCTTTCAAATGTGGCCGTCATCCTTTTTTTTTTTTCATCTGAAAGCATATTGGCAACACAGAGAACATGACGACAGGTGTTATAATTTGGCAGTACAACAGATTCCCAATGGGTTATAAAGAGTTTTGATGGTAAAAAATGAGTAATGGGGAAGCTTGCTTCTGCAGGACAAAAATGATTGCGCTTCAGTCATACTTTGTTAATGACGGCCATCTGTATTTGGGAAGAGACCTCTGTATATGCTTCACAATAGAGCGGAGAAAACCCATGATCATGCAGACAAAAAAAAAAAGAAGGCGAACAAACGAACAAACCGATTAACACGCTCGTAGGCATGCGCATTCGAAAACTCTCTCTCTCAGAGATATATGCACGCAATGTTACACGTACACCCAGACATCGTAGAAAATTTCCTTTCCCGTCCAGCCGGGAATGTAATTAATAGTAGTACACATATACTTTCCGGTTTTGACCAATAACAACGATAAACATCCGTCGGTGTGGAAAATACCAAGTAGCTTAAAGCCCAAAACCACCGATAAACACCCGCTGGTGTCAAAATACAATAACATTTTAACCCGAAACACTTTTTTTTTTGCTCCAATAGGGATTGGTTTTGTCGAAACTCCATACTCTAAGACTTTAACTTTTAGTTTTTCATGGGATTTCCTTGGTCAATAATCAACGTTCGTGGCTTCCATCCTAAAGACATCAAAATGATAACCCGATGTCTCAAAAATAAATGAGCAGAAGAACGAATCCGCCGATTGTATCGAGAAGACGGATTCTTTGGGCGAGTCGGTTGTTCATGCTTGGGTGAAACAACGCACAAGAGTTACGTTTTTTTTTCTTATTTGTACCTATTTTTTGTGTGTAAATCTTGTGCGATGTTCCACCCGCCGATTCTCTTTATCACCGGAAACACCAAAATACATGCGGCCTAATTAAATTTTAATTTAATCACCTTAAACAAGATCACTTAATTAATATATCCCGGGCTCGAGCCAAAAAATTAGACCCGTTTTTTGTGTGTGCGTGTTTTTTTTTGTTTTTTTTTTCGGTCCGCATAAATAAATTGTGCATTGCAGGAAGCCGCACCTCCGCCAGATTGTGGAGCTACAGGTGAGAATAGGATGCGAAAGTTTGAGGACAGGACGTTCCCTGGATCAAAAAAGGCTCGAGGTACATCTGAGCGCTTCTTATGAGTTGTGAATGCGAAAGCATGCACGCCGCTCTTCGCTCCCTTCTTTAATCTGCGGCGAACAACGCGCTGATCTTGGGCGTGGAACGGTGGAGCCGCTGCCTCGCGGGTACGCAGCGCCATCGGGTGAGCGATCGCTCAAACTGTCGTGTGCCTTCCGGCACCAGGAAGGAACAGACAGCAACGTAGTTCCTCGCAGAACGAACCCCATGGTTCATTCCATGCGCCGTATATATTGCCACGCGGCGTACAACCGATAAGGGGCGAGTGAACGCGGTGATCAGTGATAACACAACAGTGGGATAGCAGAGTCCGGATGACACCACGCAAACTGACGCGCAGCGGCCAACTGGCGCCTCGTCCGCGCCCATTGACCGCGAAATGGGACCTTAGTGTAAAAGGTGCCGTTGGCTAGCTTTGCGCATGGTTTCATTAAGGTGCCGCTTTGCATGGTTTCAAAGCTGATGGCGTCGGCTCGCTCTATGGTACAGTTCATGCTTTCGCATCAAAATTGAAGAGAAAAACGAACCTTCTCCATAATTTTCGCCTAAACCTAAATTATTAAAAAATATATATACATTAAATAATGTATATATTTAACAAATATATATACATAAAATATATATATTGGAGGCGCTGGTGGGAGTCACTTCTGTGAAACAAGCTTGTCAACAAAAAAGAAAATGTTGTTTTTCTTGTTGACCAATTTGTTTTACTGAAATAAATGGCACAAGCGCATAAAATATGAATTGCTGTTTTTACGAAGTTAGGAGAAGGTGGTCGGTCGGCCCATAAAAGGCTTTCTTTCTCTTGTAAACCTTTTGATCCAGGCAACGCCATGTTCTCAAACATTCGTACCCTAGCCTCACCACTAGCGTCCCCTTCTCACGGAGTTTCAGGTGTAAAATGGATAGGTGGGCTAGTTAGTACATGTTCACCTCAAAATTGGGTTGTGTGTGTGTTTATACAGCCTAGAACTTGGTCTGCCTCAAAGGGCAACGAGTCTCCCAGCTGTAGATGAGCAATTTAGCCAGTGCGGTATACGTTTACCTTGTACCAACAGTTTCAGCTTTCTGCAATGCGTCGTGTGCTTATGCGGGCCAAAAAACGAAAAAACTCGGTTTGATTGTCCCGGTCGAACGCCCGTATTTTGCAAGGCTGTCCGTGCAAGAACTCGCCTTGACTCGCCAGAGTCCGTTCGAGGGGCAGCGTGACGACGGTCATGTGGACCGGCTCGCTGCGTCCGTTGGCATTCACGCCGTACAGCACGACGCGATAGCGCGTGGCCGGCCGCAGCGAGTGGACCCGGAAGCTGGCCTGACCGGAAGTGAAGTTGGTGGCGATGGCCGGGCTCTGGCCGTCGTGCAGCTCCAGCAGGAACGTCTGTTGCTGGGCGGGGCCACTGCGCTGGCAGGTCACGTGGACGCCCTCTGACGTCACTTCCTCCACCGTGCAGTTGAACGGAGTCGCCGGGGGACCTGGACAAAAAGAAAGAAAATATGGCGGTTCCTCGCTGCGCCGTGCACACAAATTGCGGCATCAGTGGAGGCACCGCTCGGAGTTACACTGCCGCGTTAGTTTAGCGGTCGGTGTTTATTTTTGCTTATTTACTTCAAATATCCTTAAGGTAAATGATGCAACACTCCCAAGGTCACGCGACCTTGGGACGTCGCATGAAATTTTGACGTCCTGTGACTTATATGGTGCCATGGGACGCCGCACGCCACGTGACATTATGGCGTAATACGACGTCATGTGAAAGTGAAGTCACGCGGCACCAGGACGGCACGTGGCTCTAAATTCCCGCTAAATTTAGCGGGAAACCTTTTTTCGACAAATTTCGCAACCACAGACCATCGCGGTTATTTGTGCGCTTTAAATAAAGTTTATTATTATTATAAAGCTGAAATCGTGATATAATGTCACTGGCACTGTAACGCCACAGTACCACGTGCCACTGCAACTTCCCGCTAAAATTAGCGGATAAATTTTTCATTAAATGTAGCGAGCCGCGACCTACACACAAACACTTCTTGAGTTCCGCTAGGAAATCTTGCCAAAAACGGTGATTGCCGTGAAAGGGGGATATTTCTTTTTGGTCTGACCTAAACACAATGTGCCTGGAGCTAGGGTTTCACAAAAAACGTTAGCGTCCCCATGGTAGGGTTTCACAAAAGTGCAACACTTAACTAATAGGCGATATGAGAAACTGCTGGGTGGTCTGGCAGCACTGTGCACGCGGCCATCTTGGCAGCGTCAAGTATATTGAGTTTCGGTCTCTCAACATTTCCAGGGCATGGACGCTCTGCCACTGAGTGCGATAAGTACACTTCATTGTTTCCTGACTTCCTATCAACCAACGTGGACTAAAGACTAGGCCGTCTTGCCTTTCGTCTCTGAGGACACTTTATTTATTTTTTTTTCGATGCGAATTCGCATGAAGTGGTACTTTTTAGCGGTAGACTACTTCACTCCAATACATGCGACTGATGATAATACATATTTCATTTTATTATTTCTTTGAAAATTTGTGTGTTTTTCTAGACGAAAGTGTCCTGGAAAATATTTTTCAGGCGTTTCAAAAAGCTTAAATTGATTTCAGATAGCATTGACCTTAAAGGAGCGATGCAACAATTTTTGTGCTGTGCACAAATACCGCTTAAAACGGATCCCTAACGTTAATGACCTATGAAACACGCGTTCGTTTTTCACCCCACGCAATAGAAGTCCCAGAAAAAAATTTAAGAAAAACGAGCAGCGTTCACCCCCTCAACTCGCAGCCAGAACAAGCGGCCACGTGACCTGGAGCCGATTATATGCCGCCAGTGTTGATCATAGCCACGCGCTGGGGTTGGCAAAGCGCAGGACACGCGCTGAGTTCCAGACATTGTTATGGCTCGGCTGTTGTCGTCGCTGCAGCGATTGGACACGGGTCACTATCCGAATGCTTTTCGATCTAGCAATTGTCACGAGCCCAAGTCGAGTGCCCACGCAATGCTCGGGTCCAATCTATGAACCGCATTCAAATATCGTCACTTGGGTGTACTGCGATCCCCGAGTTACGTCATCAAATTTTGCGAAGGAGAGATTGAATGAAAATGATCGCCTTTGTCCTTGAAATTACACCGCAACAAAGGAGTTTCTTGGCCAATGGCGTTGCGTGTGAGTATCCTTGAGTCCCAGGTGTGCCAGTAAGCTCGTGTAGAGAGAAAAACATTCCAACTGAATATCGTTGCACCGCTCCTTTAAGCACAGTTGACGGATGTTGCGCTATTAATGAAGATTTGTTCAACCCTGGCAGAATAACTGCATTGACTTTTTCAAAATAACCAACCGAGGTTCAGTGCACTAAACAGAATGTTTACCTTGGCTGCGACAAAAAAGAGAAAACAAGATTGTGAAATGAAGTTGGCACGGCCCGTGTTGCTCCAATCGATGTCCGCAACGTACGTTTTAGCCGCTGCCGCCATCGAAGTTATAGCTGCTGCGATAAACCTAAGTCGAACGCCACGTTCGATGACATTGAACGTGGCGTTCGACAAAACAGACACCAAAATTACGTCTTTGTGTATGTTGAACAAACAGACACGTCGTCCGTGTCTGTTGTGTTTTTTATCATGCATGACCACGCTTAAAATATTTAAGAATATGTTAATAAGAAAGCCTTTTGTTTAGTTTTTAGAGGTGTCTGGCAAACCTCGTTTACCGACACCAGATCAAGTGTATAGGAATCGCTGCAAGGCAATAGGATTGTTTTCTGGCTTTCCAAAGTAATTAATTTTTTAACAGCGAAGCTGTTTCAGGCTAGGGTTCCGTATTTTTTTTGGGTGCGTCAACAAAAACTCAGAGAGGGCTCGCAACGCCCTCTCTTTGTCGTCGTTCCAAGCGCTTGCGTGCCTAGTTTCCTTTTCTTTCGCCGGGTGGCGGTCCCGTCGAGTTTCGAGTTTCCTCCGGCTCCTCGGGGCGGCGATAGCCCTCGACATAGGTGTGCGTACCTTTCGTCACGATGACTACCGATCAAGACAATAAATGTGTTCGAACCTTTGCTCACATTTTGTGTCACGTGTGTGTCGTGTGCTAAACAGCCTCGCTGGTCATCCACCTTCACAAAATGGAATGGCTCATGATTTTTCTTTTTAAATATGACATTAAAAAGAGTACTTTGAGGTGCTTTCAGCTTTAGTTCTTCAGTGTTAACTATACGCATCTTCAATTGTGGTTGGTGGCGTTGATTATTAAAACTGCCATCTTTTTGCCTCGCTTAACAGCCTCGGTCTCGTCCGCGTATATTGAGCTGCTTGCGCATCAAGGATAAATCAGGCTGACGCTACAACGTGCACAAAAGGAAAAAACGAAGTTTAGAAACAAATTTGGTACAATATCCGTAAAAATATTAGGACCCGGTTCAATAGTCGTGAATGGCTTCACGCCGCGCGATAACGTCCGCATGTTTCTTCGCGTTGTCACCGTTTCTTTTTTTTTTTTTCAAAAGCTGCGTCTCAAGTAACAAGTAAAAATAAGAACAAATTGTGAGCCCTGTTCATATTTGCGTTCACGTTACGAAACGAAAGCGAAACGCAGCAACGCATTGGCATTGCATCTCTCGCGCGAAGCGTGGTCGCTTCTTTACATGGGGTCTTTGCCGGTCGGGTCACTGGTTTCATCTTTTCACCACTACGAAGATAGCGGACGTAGTTTTCGGCGCGCTACTAAATGGCGCTCTACATTTCGCACCAACACCACACGAGACAACACTTAGCACTCTTCAACTTGGAGGTAACAGTGTCCCAGTGCTTCGCTCGTGCAAGTACTTAGGCATCACGCTGTGAGACATCGAAAACTTTTTGCAAATGCATCGCACACACCTCCGCTAAGCATCCATCCGAGGAGCCAACATTCTCCGAAAACGCAACTTGTGGCGTTATAACAGTTCATTGTGCCTAGAGAATTCTGAAAGGCGGTAGTAGTACCGAGACGGACATTAGTCAATGCGGTGGTGTGTGTCCAAGCAGCGCTCATATGGAGGGTCGGCAAAGAGAGGTCGGGCGTCAGACTCTGGGCTGCCATGGGGCAGTTGCAAATGAGGCCGTCCAGGGTGGCCTGGGCTGGTCCTCCTTCCAGGCTTGGGAGGCGACCAGCAAAATAGACTACGGCGAACAACTTCGCCATATGGACAGCTGCCGATGGGTCAAGACACTTTTCACTTACATCCACTCAACAGGATTGCGAACCCTTTGGTAGAAGCGCCTCCATCAGCTCGAACGCAAGTAGGGATTTTTTTCTAACACCATACAAGCATCGACGGCGAAAGAGGGGAAGTCAGAGGTCTGGAAAAAGGTTCCTGACCAAGAGGACCAAGCAGTGGCTCTAAGACGCCCAAAACCAAGTCGACTCTGTATGAGTACGTGATACACAAGCAGACCACCGCGTCGGAGACCCGGCTGAACGACAACATTCTAGGCAGTCGCCTGGTGTTTGAAGCAAGTGTAGGGGCCCTCCGGACGCTGTCTTACAAGCGGCGGCTCGAGGACACTGTGACCACGAGTGTGTGCAGATCTTGCGGGACCCATGAGGAAATGGTGGCACACGTCGTTCTAGATTGTGCGGGTCTCCAGCCTACTCGACCACAGGACAACGGATCACATGATCATCGTTGGACCCGACTGACGCTCGCTGAGGCGTTGGGATTCCTTGTACCATCAGAGAAACCGCAGAAACTCGACAAAACAGGGCGGGGAGAACATACAGACAGGCCTGCTAGAAAGTCTAACGTGATCTTCAGCGGGCTGCACAAGCCTACTGAAGAGGCAACCAAGAAAAGACACAAGGACTAGTGGGAAAAAATGCCCATCAGGGGCCATTAAGACCCACAGGGCTTCAGGCTTGGGCACGAACTCAGTTCGAGCCCACCCGTTCCAGAGGGAAAGAGCCGCATAATGGACATCATCATAATCATGGTCCATTTCACCCCTAATTTTACAGGGGAACCCTCAATTAGTGTAAAATGTTATACACCTCGTCTGCAGCTGCGAAAAGTTTACCGTTACATTTTGAGCTAGTATAACAAAGTATTAACAGCCTCGTCGTTCAACGTCGTTCAACAAAGATTGCAGCGATTGGCTTTCCCGAGTACTTTTGCCATACGTATACGCTCCCGATTCCTCACCATGCCCCAGCTATCGACAAGAAAGTATATTCCTGCGCCCATTAGTCACGCTTACGGCCCAAGCGTGTCTGGTGCCCCAGCTATCTGCCTAAACAAATACCCAAATGTACGAAAAACACACAAATTATGTTCATTCGGCGACCAATGTACTCCACCGAATGAGCCCTAACCTGTCCGGCACGACTCTATATCTTGGGCCGCGATTGAAAAGTTTACGATTCGCAGATATCGGTTGTTCCAAGAAGTGCAGCCACAAGGGAAAATGGAAGTGATTCTTCTTGTAGCCGAGCAATCGAGAGCACGTGGCGTTTCTAATGGCACTAAACGGCACTCCAGCAGACCTATTCGGTTGTTTTACAGGGTCAAAACATCAGTTGTAGCTGTTCAATTTTACGAGTCTATGTGTCTGTATACACGCAAACAAAGAGGGACTCGTGGCAACGCTTACCGATCGATTGTTTCAAGCGGCGCTGTATCAGAAAGATTCATGTTTATCCGGACTACAAACTTCGCCTGGAATATTTCTTTTTACTTATAAAGGGACTTAGAAAGTGCCTCCGCCGCACACCATAAAAGAAATGGTATCAGCTTACACTCTTTTGTCCCATATATGGCTAGATAACAGTGCGATATAACTATACTTCGCTACAACTTTTCTTGGCAATGCAGTGGAAGGTACAGGCCCGCGTCCCCTCTCCCATTTTGAGTGTGCGCGGGCTCTCCTCCTCTCCCCGGAAATGGAGGAGGAGGAGAGCCTGCGTACACTCAAAATGGGAGAGGGGACGCGGGCCTGTACCTTCCAATGCATTGCCAAGAAAAGTTGTCGCGCAGTATAGGCTCTGTATTTTCGGATAATACCGAAAAACTCCGAAGAACACCCGCCGGTAAAATGTTTGTCAATTCGGATTTATCCAATAAACTCCTAATTGTTATGTGCCCATGCCCCGCCCCCCCCCCCCCCCCCCCCCCGCCAAAAAAAGAATGTTCTTTTTTTTTTTTACAATTTGATCAGCGCAGGATTAATGGTCCTGCGAAAATGACACCATAATTATCTTTCAAGCCTCGGACCGTTGTCAAAAGGGGATCTTACGGCTTGTCTCGTCAAGGTTGGTTCAGGGAAACAAGTCATCGTACCATTCGTGTCACGACAAAAGTCACTCTTCTGGTTTCCCGTTTTGGACATGGGATTTAGGATTTAGAGAACGGAGAGGATATATGTTTCTGTAACAGTGAAAGCTATGGACCATAGAGATTGTATAAAATAGGGAAGAGGGGCAGTTGAAACTTCTCTATTCCATCCTTAACCACTCCACCTCGCGCGGCCGCGGGATAGATTGATGGGATGACTACGAGCTTCCTTGCAGCTACCTCCGGCAGTTCATTATTTTAAGGTATCGACGTTTATCGAAGCCACACTTGTGTGCGACTTTTGTCGTGGGACAAATTAGTATTGCAGTGACACCAACGCCGAATCCAACTGAAGAAATCTTAATTCAGACAAGTGCGTTTTAGCTTTTATCTGGGCATACGTTTGCATCCGGTTATTATTTATTATTTCTAATAGGAAACACTGCGAAATTATTCTCCAAATTGTGGAGAATTGGGAATCAAAAAAATATAAACTCCGATAAGCTCCGAATATTTGGAAAAATATAAACCCCGATAAGCTCCGAATATATGTTTAGACCTAAAAATGAAGCCTGCGCTGTGGCAATACGCAATGGAAAGCGTCATGCTTGCATTGCGTAATGTCACAGCGCACACTTCATTTTGAGCTCTGAACAGATGTTCCGCCACATCATTCGCTCAGCTGATTTCCTAAATCGCAGAGACTGACTCTTTGAGTGTTTTGCGGGCAAGTAGACGCGCAGGCATTCATTAGAGTGCAGCCAAACAACAAAATCCCGAGTGACGCCGGAAACGGAGGTCGGGGGGAACGCCCCCGAGCCCACAAGGGTCTCCTTTCCGTCCAATGGCGTCGTTTTTTGTTTTTTTTTTGTTCGTCTTCGGTCGTCGTTGGGGGCGTGTCCCTCCTAACCGGAAGTCTCCCCCGGCTTCCACCTCCGGTGGCATCGTGTCGCCTTCAGATGCGTCCTACCTCCATGGTTATACGACACTAAGGTAGTCCCTGACGTGGCAGGAACGGCAGGGCGTGTCTTTGGAACGCTGGAGGCGGGACAACTGTCAGACAAATGGCAGACAACTTTCACCTTCTCGGTGACTATCCGCGAGGCGCAGTCAGCCTTTCAACTCTGACGGTGTCGATTTAGGACGACTGGGCTTCCACCGGGCTCTTTACAAACCATCGAACTTGTCGCTCGCTTCTAAGAATCTCGGTCGTGGCGTCAGGAATGGGAACCATTAGAAGGCGCCGCCGAAACATCTCGTAGTCTATAGTGGGGATTTTACGGCTGCGACTAAAGAAACGGAGAATACAATATAACGAATAACATAATCATTATTAATAATGAATTTACTCCACGCCATAAATTGATGACAGCGATCTAGGAAGTGCGCTCTAAGGCATACCTAGACGCTTCTTTGATCACCTTCAAATTGCCAGGAACGGTAAAATAAACAAAAAAGAGGAATAAATAAATACGTCCATGAAAGCTTTCATATGTTCCGCGATATAGATTCCAGGGAGTATTCATGGTTACCTGGAGGCGCAACGAACAGCCATTACACACTCAGGGCTAGGAAAATGAAACTAAGCTGCCCGATGAGTACTCATATAACGGGAGAAGCGTTCGCTGATGATGGGCTATGAAAGGGTCGGGCTACAATCTTGTTTTAACGCTACGAGCCTTTTAAATTAAATAGAAGACGTATGTCAGTCTTCACTGGTAGCTAATGCCACTCAAGCTCGTGGACGCTTGATATGAAGTAGCTGAGCGTTACTTTCTCTTTTAAGGTTTTCGACGTTGGCTCCTGTATTCCCACGTGTACTGCGCTGCGTTCTGAAAGTTCCGCGCCATAATTATTATTGCCCGCTACGGTTATCCTAAGGTGAATGTCGGATCCCTTTTAAGTTTTTTCTTGATTTATAGTACAGAGGAAAATTAGATTTTGTTTTCTTACACGTCTTTATAAATGGTTAAGATTTGTGTCATGTTATACTCTCTTATATCTGCTCTACTTATGTTGCGCATGTATGCGCGAGGTATTTACGAAATTTGGTAGCCAAGTCAAAGAGAACGGCGCTTTATTTTACATTTTTGATGGGTCGCAGGGTAGAAAGGCTTGTGTAGCAGACACTTACACGTTACTGAAAGAAGTAACTGGTGACTCATTACTCTCTTATTTCTCTTTCAAAAACTAACTAAGTACGTTATTCGTTACTTAGATTGAAAAGGAACGCGTCAGATTCTCGTTCCTTTGAATCTGTCGTTTTTAGAGTAGGAGTAACTACTTTCCTGCGTTCAGCCATGGGCGAACTAAATTCCCTCATCGTGCAAAATGTCGCCTGGAATAATAAACTGGGGACTATGGTTGCTGCGGTTGTGAGCAATTGTCACGCACGTGTGTAGAGACGTAGACGTGAAAAAATATGTATGTGCTCACTTGGTTGTACTTTATAGCTGGTTGCTGACGCAATGACCTCTTTACAGTAATACGGTTAGATTGAAGGTACTTTCTCAAGTGAAACCCAAAGTGCGTAACTTGTGTTGTACGCGTTCTTTTTAAGAAGTAACTAAATATATTTAGTCTTTACTTCGTCAGAAAGTAACGAAAGCTCGTTAGTTCTCGAAAAGTAGCTATAGGTCGTTACTTCGTTACCAAAAAAGCAACTAGATACAAGTAACGCTTTAGGTACAAGTCTGTGTGGCACTAGTCGAAGAAGGTTGACAGTAGACAATGCATCGCTCACCGACTGGAATGATCTGGAAGATGCAAGGCTCGACGCTGTCTCCGACCGCGTTGCTGGCCAAGCAGTACAGTGTGCCGTAATCCGAGTCCACCTTGGGCGTGTAGGGAAGCACGGAGCGGGCGTGGTTGGCGCCGAGCGTCGAAGACGACGCGTTTGGAGCCAGCTGGAAGTTCCGATGCGTTTGGTGGAAGGTCCAGGTGAAAGTCACGTCGCTCGGGTCCGCCTCCATGTCGCAGTGCACCTCCACGGTCTCGTGTTTGGCCACGGCGTGCGAATGCTGTCGCTTCGGAGAGCGGCACAACGGAGCGTCTGGGTAAAAGGAACATACGACGCCTTCCTATAATAAAAAGGTGGCTCGCCGTCTACTTTTCGCTCGGAGCAGCACTCAAGGAGTTCACACAACAGCTTCTGCCATCGCCTCGTATATACAGACAAAACCTGGCAGATCGCCACGAGAAGCGGTCGCCGAAATGGAAAAGGTGGAGCCGCAGACGACGGATAAAAGGAGAGCCACGTGACTGGCGCCCCGCTGCGGCGAGACGCCAAAACACACTTCTCCCGACCGAACAAATGTGTTTCGGGCTCTCGCCGCTGCAAAGCTGTGCGCTGACGTCCAGGTTTCCCGAGAAATGGCTTTTTGATGGTCTGTGCTACCAGATCCTCGCGCTCCAAATCTGCGACCGCACTCTTAGAAAAAAGGGTATCGATAGTCCTCCCCAAGGGGAGGAACGGTCTTGTAACCTATGTTCTTTTAAAAAGAGAGAAACTTTCGTCCCTGAAGCAGGGAAGCAAAGTTGCTCCGTCGCCTGCATCTCATTATGGCGGCCCCGAATCGAGCGAATCGAGCTCAATAAGGCTTAAAGAGGACGCTACGTCTTTTGTACGGGACGAGAGGAGCAGCAAATAAAGGCGTAACACGAGCTTTCCGCGAACTGTGTTTATTTCCGAAACCAGATTCCCCCCCGCAAGTACAGAAACTAACGTTTCAAAAGCAGCTACTCAGTCTTCTCGTCGTCAGCACTGCGATCTTAAACGGAGACGACCGATACCCAGTTACTTCGCGCCTTTTACGTTTTATCTTTGCTGTTCCTCGAGTCACAATTCCTTCGCCAACCGCACATCACGGAAGAATGGACAACCAATGCGCAAAACCAAAAGCCACTCTCACAAAAAAAAAAAAAAAGCTCGAAGCAGCTGTTTATTGCGTAGCGTGAAAGAAGGTTAAATCGCTTGCCACAAGAAGGCGGGGTCAAGCGGAGTAATTGCAAATAGCTAGGCTAAGTGGCGCTTGGTACCGCCCAATTCATGTTCTACGAAAAAAATATTTACTTCCTCACGCCACTTGCGCTTCCGGATCTCCAAGTACCTCTATTATACACACATGTAGACACATTGCGCATATTACAAGCATCAGGTGAACATACATTGAGCGTATACACATACATGGACAAACATCAAAACAACGGCCCACTATCCCGATCACTACACCTAAGGAAAAATTGGCTTGCTCTGTATGTTTATACAGCCTTGATGGAGATGCGCCTCAACGGGTAATCGGTCTCTTAGCTGTAGATGAGAAATTTAGCCAGTGCGGTACAACCGCTACCCTGGGATTTTTAACGTGCAACACGCAGTAGTGATCACACGAACGCGTGCCGGTACGAAACTCATCCAGATCGAAACCGGCGAGGGTGGCGGGGACTCGAGCCCAGGAGGTTCCCAGCGCAAGCTTTCGCTCCACGCTCCGAGCTGAGACGCGTTAGCCCACTCGGCCACTTCCTCCCCCACTACACCTAAGCTCTGCGTTTCCGTCTTTTATCCTGGTCGTTTTGAACGTACGGAATTTTTCGGTGACACCCTAAGCAATAAAAAATATTCCCAGCATGTTGAATTTTTTCCAGTAATGTCATACCTTTGAGAGTACTTTGAATGACTCAGGGGATCAATCTCTTAATAAAAAGAAAACGCTCGATTATGCCGTAATTAATAAAAGGCCAATAAATCAAGCCGCTTCAATGCAGTTTTAAGCCACGGGTTTGTTTCAACTCACGGAACGTCATAGCCAGTATTTCTATTGTAGTGTTTGTTTTTTCTAACTGTACTGTTCGCGCACGGCTGCAATTGCCGTCTTGAATTAATCTTTGTAGAGCGGATATTCGCTCGGCTGGAAGTGATGCTTCACGGGAAGAGAAATCACCTTTCGATCGGCTTGAATGCAGTCAAAGCCGCAACTTGCGGCAGGTGTTAAATGTACAGAGCTACGCCGAGGCAAGCTCGAAAACTTCTAGCGCTCATCCCAGTGCGCCACTTGGAGGGCAGTTTCTCCAGGAACCGTAGTATATTTAAACAGCAAAATAAAGGGTAGCTTTTTTTCGATTTTACCTACTATTATTTTTTAATGCTAAAATTCCACACTGTAAATATACGTACAATCTCCGGCAATATGAAAGACCCACTGGGAGCGCGTGGCCGAGGTGGTGGCTGGCGGGGGCGCTGCGAGCGCTCCGGGCGATTCCATTCTGCTTCGAGGAAAGGACGCTCACTCGGGCTCAGATACAGCGAAACGCGCTTATCAGATTGTGCTGAGCCCCGAGTGAGCGTCCTCCCCTCGAAGCAGAATGGAATTGCCCGGAGCGCTCGCAGCACCCCCGCCAGCCACCGCCTCGGCCACGCGCTCCCAGTGGGTCTTTCATATTGCCGGAGAGTGTACTTTCTGTCATAATTTCGTACTGTTCAGTCCTTTCCCCAGAGCGCAATAGCTCTCGAGGAAGGGACCACCGAGAGTCACAATGGCCGCTGTACGATAGGAGCTTACCGTTCAGACCAGCGTTCCAACATGACTATCCTCACGTCGATCGATTGTATCTAATCCCTCAAGTGGTTTTAAACACTTTAATGTAAAGCGGAATGTCAACCTGCGAAACTTTGCCCCCTCCGATCCCGGCCCGACCAGCGGCATTAATGCCCGACAGTTTACGTCATCTCATCTTGTTGTTACAAACTGATACGCGAACACACGATCCCATCGGCGATAATTCCAGTCTTTTGTTCACAACGCACAACACTGCCATCACGATGTAGCTGCTGTTGCTGACACGAAGAAATACAGAACCACGTTTATTGCCGGTTGCACTCGGCATCGGAAAACAGAACCGAACTCAGCACGGAAGGCACCCAGGCAGCCGGCAGCAAAACCCTCCCTGTTTTGGACGCATTTCCTGCGATTTCCATGACGTCGAAAACTTCGACACAGTTCCGCGTGGTTCCGCTACTGTAGCTCCGCGTGGGTCCCGCAGTCCAGAGACGCCCATCTTAGCCAGCGTTCTTAGCGCTGCTGGCACCGCTCCGGAACTTCGCTGTTTCTAGCAGCTTCGTTTGCTCATTTGATAAAATTAGTGGTAAAAACGTCAATGCAACCGAAATGTTCTGCGCATTCGCACTAGACGACGGAATTGCAGGCGACCTTCACTGCCACTGAAGCTCAATGAACTCAACAGCTATTTATTAAACAACGTGCGCGACCTGCTCGAAAAACGAAACCGAAAGAAGGTGAGTCGGAAGGGCGAAAGCTTTCACCCGTCTGCCGGGAGGAGGAGAAAAACGTCTCGTTCCTCCCTTCTTCTCGTGTCCGTTTGGGGGCGCGTCAGTAGAAGGGAGGAAGACGCGCCGTTGCTACCTTTTTCCTCAATTCTTTCTTAGAGTGCGGGCACTCTATGGCTCCGTCGTCGAACTGCCAGGCTTTGCGAGTATAGAGCAGGCTATGCTTTTGCAGTCACTGACGTCCTAAAAAACGCAGGTCGTGGCTTCTTCTCGCTTCGTCATTTGCCATTCGGAGCTCTTATTGCTGATTACGCGCTTCCCTCGCTTCGGAACATTAATGAGATGTTCGGTAGCTATGGCCATTATCTAGGAGGTGCGTGTTAAGCTGTGCACCTTCAGTAGTGCCGGCCTAAACACTGTCCCGCTAGCCACCGGAAATCCGATAATTGCGCTTCCTTTATAATCAGGTTAGCCGGGAAGTACTGCGCTCCAATGATCACGCAGTCTCAGTTGTAAAAAAGCGTCCACTCTATTATAGCTGACAAAACTACAGGCAAAACAATGATATTGGCTGCCTTGTGAGGTACAATGACTGTTTTAGTCTTTTTTTTAAGTATTTCTGTAACAAATACGTTTGAAAGCCCTGTTCTTGGGATAAGCATTCAGATATATGTTAACTCCGTAGCTAAATTTTCCCATAGTTATAAAATTTATATTCTCCAGGCGTGGGCATTGCCAAGATTTTAATATGGTAATTTTTACAGCCGCCAATGTCACACCAAAGCAGGCACGTTGTTCTTTTTTTTTTTCAATTTATTTTACGGACGATTTACAACACGCACACGAAATATTAAAAATTGCATTTTTATATTTCTATGCAAAAACAATTACGAAACACATAAAAAAAACACGCTCTAGAAACAATTTCACAAATTATATACCATCAAGCAACTTTATGCACAACGTCGCGAGATATATAAAATGTGCGTCGTGCAATGCAGTTTAAGAACATATATAAAAAAAATTTCTTGGCCATCATTTTAGTTTTTTTATTAGTACAGAAACGTCAGTCATTTCTCTAAAAGCAACGAAATGGCACGTCAATATTTAAAAAAAAAACTCCATCTTTTATTTATTTTAAACTATCCTTAACTCGTTTCAGTAACCTAAAAAAACTGGTGATAAGAACATTTTGAGTAGCATATCACGTCCAATTGAGAAAAGCAACAACAAACCTTCACTGAAATGCAGCTAGCTTCTCGTCGTTATAGGGGTTTCGCTGCACGATGTCGGTTTTAAAGATATGATTTCTCGAACCGACAAAAGTGTGCACAACGGTCTTGCTCTATTGCAGAGCTGTAGCAAGTCGACATAACTTAAAACCATGAAACTGGGAAAATAAAAAAGCGCACAGCGCAACAGATAATCTAAAAAACAGCCGAGTTTATTCGACTACACCTAAACAAAAAATATCAAGAAAAGAGAACATGACGTCGCGAAGATCTGACCAGACGTGGCTCGACAGGCTAAATCCCCACAACACTGTACAGGCTTCCAACAATGAGCACCACCGCCAAGCACCTGCATAGATAATCTTCGTCAAGACAATGACAACCGATCAACTTCAAAATATATGGGTGTAAGTTGATGACGTTCTCTAACCAGCTGGTTTGCGTGTGTTCGCTTCTCAAAAAGTAATACTGCCCCAAACTTTGTTTTATCTTTTTTTGCTTTCTTGTGTTGCCGTCTAAGCCCCCTTCCCCCCCCCCCCCCCCCCCCCCCCCCCCCTCGGTTTCGCGGCCGCATAGGCGGGATTTGTGTGTTTTCAATTTCCAGATCCCGAAGAAAAAAACTCTCAGCCTCTCCATTCTGCTGAAGAAGGAAGACCAGTGGAAGGTAATGACCGGCCTCAAGTCGGCACGCCAGAGTGAAAAGGCTGCCGCCATCTATGAGCGATGGCGACAACCAGAAACGTGGCTTGCCGCCGTCGCTCATAGATGGCAGTGGGTGTCCAGAGTTCGGTGTCTTCATTTCTTTGCGGGGGACACGATCCTGGGGAAACTAGCCCTTAACAGCTCCGCTATAGATGTTAAAGAAGTTAACGCTGTGTATTGCCCTGAACGCTTTACATGGCACTTTGCTCAGGTAAGCTGACATTCATTGGAAACTAAGCTTGACTGCCACTCAGGATGTCCATGTCAGTCCGGTTGTTTTCAATGGAAGATGCTTCTGCTCGGAGCCGCGCCGTGGCGCCACTTCCTTGTCGCACGCTTTTAATTGAGATGGTAGCGTTGGCCGATAGAATCCCTGAAGCACAAGTGACGAAGACAGAAGCGTAAACATGTTGAGTCACGCCCTGCACTTGTTAAGCTTCCAGTGACTGCGTAGTTTCTTACATCCTCGAGGGAGTTAATCAGCTAGTCCTAGAGCTAACCCTAGTTGCCGTAACACCTTTAGGGTGTCACGCAACGTCCTTAGAGGGCAGAAAAATACACTAAATTTTCAAGGCTATCACCATTAGGGTGTTAGCCCTGAGATTTTATGGTGTTCACCAGCACCCTAATGATGTCACTGTAGCACCCTAAAGGTTCTGCAGCAAAACCCTTATGACCTATTTTACGATAAAACTACCCTTTTATTCAAAATAAGGGTGATGAAAGGGTGTAGCCATGGCTGGTAACTGTCTGAAATTCCCTATTTGCATCTGCGCAAAACGTTTCGGCCTCAGGGAGGACTCACGTAACACCCTGAGCTTGAGCTGGCTGCTCTCGGACTCGCCCTCCGAGTTTGCGGCCGAGCAGGCGTAGAAACCGCTGTTGGAGCGGCCCACGCTCCGCAGGGCGAGCGACTGGTTGCTCACGATGACTCCCCGGGAGCCGTCGGTGTGCAGCTCGCGGCCGTTGAAGCGCCACGTGACCTCGCTGACCCCGGGGTTGGCGCGGACGCTGCACTCAAAGTAGATGTCGATGCCCTCGTGGATGCTCGCTGGGTTCAAACCGCTGCCGAGGCGGAGGTGCACCAGCGGCTTATCTATCAAAAAGAAAATCAGTCAATCATTATATTATTTGGACACAATAAAAATGGGGTAGGGGGAGGCGCAGGAGGCTTTCACGGCTAGCAGATATAGGTATAACCCGTACGCAGGGGCGCCTACTAACCAACCTCCTTAGCACACAAGGAAATAAAAATAAATTAGGAATAAAGACGGAAAAAGTTTAAATTAGAAATGAAAATGAAATGAATTTACAAGTGGAAAGAACGACGTGACTAATGGTGCAGAAGAGCATGCGAAAGGCTTCTGGTTAAACCGTTAAGGTCGTCAGTGGTCTGAGGCAGTGGCATATGCGTGCGCCAAGGGAGAAAGAGCTAGTGTCCACAGCTGATGGGAAGAGGGAGGCCTGGTGTTGTCGAGTCCGAGCACGAGGTGGCAATGGGGGATCTGGGGCCCTATGCTACACGGCGGGACCAAGGAACCGAGAAAAAGCCGTCTGCTGCGATTGGTCAGCCGCGCTGAGCTCACCAATCGCAGCGGACGGCTTTGTCCCGGTCCCCCTCTGCGATTCGAGATCCGTGGAACCGAGGCTAAGTATGATTCAGCCATAGGGGACCCGGTGGCAACGGGTAGGGGCGAATTCATGCCACCATGCGACGACTAGGGTGCCTACATGTTTCCGCTCCGCTTTAGGGTGGCGCCAACTTCTTGTTACCCTTTCCCAGATCCTCGCCCACCGCCATTTTGTCCCACTTCATATTTCGCTAAACGTACACAACGTTGAGTTTTTGTAGTCTAGACACACCGGCAACACTGTGAGGCCACTTCCGTTTCCGTTCATAAGAGGAGTCGGACGAGTCGGAGGCTCAGCGGGATGGCGGTCGTCGTGGCTGTCGCTCTCTTTATTCGGGTGTTTCATACTTTGAAGTTGCGATCTGGAAGTATCCGTTGCGTTTGTCGAAACGTGAGTCCCCTCGACAAAATGGAACGCAACAGACCGGCATAGCACGCCGAAACCTCGCCGTCGGAACGAGAGCGGTGGGCGCTCCCTAGCCCTGACGAGGATTAGCGGAGTAGCGCGAGCGCACGACTGGCGAGTGTGACAAAATGGTTGACGAAACAGCGGAGGTTGCCATGGTAACGAGGTAGGCAACACTGGTTTGTCGGCAACAGGTATCACAAACGTTGTCGCCATCCTAAACAGCGGAGCGGCGGAAACATGTAGGCACCCTAGCGACGACTATGGCTCAGTCAATATGACAACCGAGGGACTGCAGGCGCGCATCGTAGTCTGAGGGTAGATGGCAGCGTATACCAGCCTCCGCGTGGCGCGGCGCTGCACACTTCTCGGGGTCTCGATGTGGTGTTGCTGATTGGGGCTCCAGAAGGAGGACCAGTATTCGAGACGTCAAAGGACCGGGCCAGTGTATAGCGTTCCAAAGAGGCGCGAAAGCCAAACAGAAGAGCCTAAGGCCGCGAACACACTGCGAATACATCATACAAAGAGTCTTCAGACAATATCTGCGGTGCGTTTCTTCAGTATCTGACAGTTCTGTCACATTGGACGTAAAAAATAAAGCGGCTTAATACATGTTTCAAGCATACATACGTAAGCAAACATGCTTCGAACATGCTTGAGTAGTGTCATCACATGATTGCGTCATCATTTTTGCAGCTAACACCAGGTCTTTTGTATGATGTATGAGCAGTGTGACTCTGACCTAAAAAAACACTGAAATTAAAAAAAAAAAAAAGAGATGGGTCACGTATTTTTTCCGCTAATCTTTACTACGAAATAAAAAAAAAAAACTTCGCGCAATATTTACGTTCTTAGACGCAATTTTTATTAATGGACGTTTTCCGAGAAGCGTTCTGCGCACGCGCGAGCGCCCGATGCCAAGCGGTGGAAGTCGGAACGAAAAATCGAGGAAATTCGGAACGAGGCTGTAGATCGACGAGTAGAACACGTAATTGCAGCATATATATAATTGTGTTACACAAAAAAAGAAAGTGGACGGAAAGAAAAACACGACGTTTGGGTGGACGCTACGGATTTCCCTCTTTAAAGTCGTGTTGGGCACGCGACGCAGCTCAGAGAGCGAAACAACAGGTAGCGTAGCTCCCATTATCGATTGGTAGCGCAGGTAGGTCAGTTCCTCGATTTTTAGTTCGTGGAGCCACCGCCTGGTGCCGTCAGTATTTCGAAAAGGTCCATTCAATTATTTGAAATACTGTGGACCTGTCGGTCAACACACGAGTGAAAAAACACAGCAGACAGAAAACAAGACATTCAATCATGCACTCGCCACCTGAAGCGAGCAAAGGTGGGCTTTAGCTACCCACACATGCTCAAGATATACATTTCCACAAGCACAACTTGACCAAACAATCCATTCAGTTGCGATGCAAATATTTCAGGACTACAACAATTGACAACTTGCTCCAGCAGAGTGTTCCACTCAACTAAAGTTCGGCAAAATAGAAAGAGTATTTCAAAACATTGTTTCTGTACTGTTAGGGTGAAATTGCTTTCGTATTGCTCGTTCTTTTAAAGCGTGATGTAGAAGGTAAAATGTACAGTTCAGGATTAATCTTTGTCAAGCCATTAGCTACAGCGCATATTCTTTTTTTTATCTAGACACTTTCCTTCTTTTTTATAAACAGTCAAGCCGCCCTTCATTTCTAAATTGCTGTAATTTACTCGGCGCGCCTGTATTCAGAAAAAAAAAAAACCGAAGTGCCAGATTGTGTATCCATCCAATTTGCGCAACCTGCTGCTTCCTGTATGGGTCACATAGGCACCCCGCGTATTCCAAAATCGGACGTACATAGCATTTATATGCAGCTAATTGAACATCTCTATTTGCATGTCTAAGATGCCTTCTAAGAAAGCCCAACTTCTGATAAGCCTTGGAGCGTCTGTAATCTACGTATCTATTCCAGTGCAGGGTATTAACAAAAATAACTTTAATTGCCTAAATTATTCTGCTTTATTAAGTTCAATGCCGATTATAGAGCAGCGAAAGTCTAGGGCCTTTTTTTTTTATTCTAATACTGCAAGAGACAGTTTTATCCAGATGAATTACCACAACCCACTTCTTACACCACGAGAATATTTTTTCCAGGGACTGGTTGAAACTTTCCTAGTTCTGAAATGTAGCCCCTTTGGAAAGACCACACAGTCGTCTGCGAACAATTCAACTTGTACAGAGGGATAGGAATTTGTTGCGATATCATTTATTTCAATTAAGAATAAAAGGGGCTCCATCACTGATCCTAGCAGTACTCCTGAGTAAACTGCTAACGGGGAAGAGCAAACTTTAGTACAGCTAACATACTGCATTCGTCCTTATAAACAAAAACGTATTCCAGATATCAAAACCTGATTTAATCACAATAAGGTTAATTTTTGTACTAATTTGCCATGAGGTACCCGGTCAAACGCTTTAGAGTTATCCATAAATATTACGTCAACCTGACTTTGTCCGTTTATAGCAGATGCAAACTAATGTGTCCACTCTATCGGTTGCGTGACTGTCGATAGACCCTGCCGAAACCCGTGCTGGTGTTCGTACAGTAAGTTATTTTTTTCTAAGTATTTTTTTTAGATAGTTAGAAATTCTGTGTTCTACAAGGTTGCAGCATATCGTTGTTAAAGGTATTGGGCGATAATTTTGAAGGTCCATCTTGTTTCCGGACTTGTAAATGGGCACAATATCCGCACATAGCCATGTCTCCTGATAACTTGCTGTGAAGAAGGGACGCTTGAAAAATTAAATATAAATACAGCGATCAGTATATACAGCGCCAAAAAACGACAGGACCAAGACGAGAGTAAACAGGACGAGGCGCACTCGCAGCTAAAGTTTATTTATTTTCCTAAATAAACTTTAGTTGCGAGTGCGCCTCGTCCTGTTTACTCTCGTCTTTGTCCTGTCGTTTTTTGGCGCTGTATATACTGATCATGAACCAACTAGCCCAAATTTCTACTTTGCTAAATACAGCGACACCCACTCGGCACGTCTTTTCAAAAGTGCGGTGGAGATATTGTCTGCTCCGGATGTATTTTTTTTTTATTGCTTATATTTAAGTGTAGATAAAAAATGCCACTTTCTGACAAAAACAACTCTGGCATTTGTGAGTCGTCGGGTACGTAGACAGGTTTTACCGCCGTGACACCGTAAAGACAAACTGGGAGTATTTCTTGAATTCTTCAGCAATCGTAAAAGGACAAAAGGAGAAGTGACGACTTTATTGTTGATTAATTCTTGCGAAGTTTCTTCCTCCGGAGTCGAAAAGAAAAGCCAAAAGTTCTGTGGGGTCTTCCTCAAGAACCGTGAGAGCACGTTACCACAGTAGCTTTCTTTTGCTTGCGTCACAAGATCCTTTAACTCTAATCCTTACTTTGCTATTTCAGTAACATTCTAACTTTTTTTTTGTTTTTCGTCGTTTTATCTTTTATTTTAGTTGCAGAATTTCCCTCGTTTTCCAGGGATGGCTCCTTTGTGCTCACCCTTTCCTTGAAAGCGGAGGTCACGGCGCGCTCCAAGGCCCGCCCACAGATCAGTGGCCCCGCCCATTCCTACTGAATTCGCCTGTTGGCTGTTCGGCCCAACAGGCAAACAAGTATAGTGTCTCTCTTTTCCCGACATCCGGTGCGCCTAGTCTTCGCGTCTGACTGAGCCTGCTAGTCGCGCGAGCGGACGAGGCAGCAGCCTCCGGCATCGTCTGTGGTCGAAGTTCTCCAGTGGCCAAACCATAACCTCCTGCATTATCATCATCATCATCACCATAACCTCCTGCATCATGATAACACCTGCCCAATCGCCGGTTCATGGCGAGGCATATCCTGCAGATCATGGGGGGGGCAGCGGAAAATCCTGTCAATCACTACGAAGCACATCCTGGTCGCGATGTCACGAAAGGAAACCACAAGGAGGCGCTACCGAAACATCTCGGCGCTAATAGACACTGAGACAACTTGGCCGATTGCTATGGTACCGCGCTAGACCAATCGCTGCGAGAGGCGGCAAGGGAAAATGGGTAGCGCTACTGTGGCAGCTAAAGGTGCCATGTACAGTTGCTATAGTATACATGACTTGTCATCGCAACACTCTAGTGTCATTCCTTCCTTTTTTGCCAAGAAAACGAACATCAATGGTGTAAAACGTATGCTCAAAAACGTGCGCGCTAGCAGCAAGGCCATCGCACTACCCGCCGATGTGAAGTCAGTGCAAGCCATGTACACATGGCTTTTTGTTAAACCTCTGGATGACATTAATTTTTAGAAAGGATATACAGAGAGTTTTTGTTTTTTTGTTTTTTTTTTGTTTTTCGTGGGCAGCGCCATTTTGTAAAGCTCCTCTATCCCGGGAAAAGTGGCGCCATTCATTGTTGTGGCAATGCTCGGGACACGTGCCGCGCGCCACTTCTGGGAAGAACATGGCGTCTGAAATCTAGATCAGAGCCGCGCTGTGCCGCCATGATCTTCCCAGGGGCTGCACGTTCCACGCGCCTCCTGCATCGACGCACCTTGCGCTACTTTTAAAACATGAAGGGGCTTTACCATTCTGAATACCGCAGCGCCGCCTGGAGTACTTCGGATTCTGCGACCGTGCTGGTTTGTGACTGAAGCTGACCTTTTTCAGCTTTTGTTAGCGTGCAAAAATGACGATGTGCGATGAAACAAGGCTTCATGACTGCCATTCGGGTCTTTCTTCCTTTTTTCCAAACCAGGAAAGAGGAAAGCGCGTGGCAGCCCTTTCCTACTTCTCTCTCGCCCTCTTTCAGTAAAACGGCATAACCAGAGCCTTTTATACTGGGAGAGTTCGGCGGTTCTTTGATCCAGCCGCCAGTCTGGCAGCACTGATCAAACAGTCTGGCAACTGTGCGCATCCGCCATGATGTGCCTTGCCGTCTAGCTTGATTGCACCTTTGCATTTAATTGCATTATAATTATAACCTTAAATTGCAAGCTTCACCCCTGTTGGTGTAAGGCTGGTGGCGGCTGATAAAACCCGTTTGCCCTACTGACTCGAGCAGGCAGTCGGCTCACTAGAGTCCATGGAGCGAGAGACGACGATGAAAATGATCGTTCTGCGCTGCACTCTGCCAGACGTTAGATGAAAAAGAAATGGGGGGCTGCAGTGCCGTTGGGTGCTCGAACAACGCGAAAAAGGGGTTCAGGATGCACCGGTTCCCGCAAGGAAAAGAAAACCGCGCAAGGCACAAGATCTGGGAAACCAAGAAGGGCTGACTGGAAGCCGAGTTCTCGATTGTGCGAGGTAAGTTTAGGATTAACGTATGATTAACGTAACAAAATGCTTGATTTTTCGACTTTCTCCTTACGCCAACAAAAGCGCAAACGGCAAAACCTACACGCGTATACATCGCGTGTCAATGGGGACCCACTCTCCGGGAGGCACATCATGGCGGAAGCGGCGCCCGCTGAGTCCGCTAGACCTAGCGGGCCGTAAGCCCCTCCCACCCGCCGAACTCTCCCAGTATAAAAGGCTCTGGGCATAACATAAGACTCGTTTTGTTTTGTTTGTATGCGTGCGTGTTTGCGTCTGTGGTGCTTTAGTGGCCATCTAATCGTGGTTCGTCGTTCCCTTCAAGTAACATAATGAATTATTATGTATCGAAGATTAGAATAGACAAATCCGTATGCCAAAAAGTGATATTATGCTATGATTGTGTCCATTACTCAAGCTTTCTATTTCCATATGATCGAAAGTTCCACAATGCTAACAACTGTATGATAGCCCTTGAAAGTCTAATTTCATCACTTTTACATTAACCTAGATAGCACCTCCGAATATTTACGAGGACGGCTAGCAAGGTTCCGTTTCGCTGATGTTTATGGTTCGAAGAAGTGCAACCAAAAGCAGAGGTTAAAACGATTTAAAAAATGCCACTTGTAAGAGATTGTTTCTAATGACTTCAGTTGTCACCCCTACAAAACATTTACAATATTTAATCGAACGAAACGTCATTTGTACCTCTCCAAATGATAGGTACGTTGATCCGCAGGTACAAAGAAGCTCATGGAAATGCTCACCGGTCGATCACTTGCTCGGCGTTCTTTTCGAAAGCTGAATCCCAATTCGATCGACCGACTCATTTTAGAATATCTTTATTCAGTTTTTAAAATCAACAAGAAGAAAAGGCTCAATCACTTTTGTATTCAGCAGAGTCCTTATATACGTCGTGTCGATTTCCATGCTAACCGATCTACCCCTCTTACTACAGTTTGGCGACGGACAATTAAGGTATCAAAACTTCATACCATTTCACGAGAGTATCATTTGTTTATAAACAGTGTTCGTTTGACACGTTAACGAGGAATCCTATTGCCAAATGCACCCTTGCCGACAACTTTCAAATCGCTCCCGTGGTGCTAGGGTCCTGATTTGGTCTCCAGCAAAAGGCGCCAGGTTGAAACCTTGATAGAGGTTCCCTCTTCGAAACATTTCTAGGAATTTATTATACTTCGGTGAGCGTACACGCGCTTTCGGCTTCGCCACCTCTGAATCTATATGAGCCAGTGCGGAAATAGGTAAAAACTGACTTAGCATCGCTCAGCAACTCTCAATTTTGTTTCGGTAATTGTATCCTGTCTACAGTTTCATCGAAGTTGGTAGACGATTGGCAGAGCGTCCGTCTGTGGAAGAGGGTTTCCTCAGGATCAGCCGAGCCAGGTGGCCAGGTGCCATCAGAGGGCACGAATTCCTTCTGTGAACAGCTGTCATGTGCTTCGCTCCATTGCTTTGATTGGGTCACGCAAGCCTTCGCACTCGTCATATGTCATATTATGCTGAAATGGAGTAGTATAGTCGGTTGAAAGAGCACCGACGCGACCCCACACCACGGCAGGCTCTATGGCTAAAAACGCAGCATTCGGTGGTGACAACGACACAACCAACGCCTGAATTCGGTGTTGCTTGAGACGTATCTAAAGTAACACTGGATTAAAGACACAAGATTCAGTGTAAACAAAAACTTAATCTATACCGAATTCAAAGCTGGATTCAGTGAAGACTAGGACTCAGCGTATTCTGGATTTAATATGCGTGTATCCACTGTGGACGTGGACACAATATATACTGCATTTCAGCCCCTGGATCTAGTGTGGATGGTTACTCAAACTACACTACAAGCTCAAACAATACACCACCTAAAAGTCAAGGCCTGTGCATCACGTCACGGTTTGTGGATTCCTGAACCGCCTCAAGCAGTAAACATGCTAAAGCTCGACGAGTGTCCCCGCTAAGTAGCAGACGCGTCCGTCTTGGCGTCGACGTGTGCATATACGGAGCACAAGTTCGTCTGCTTCTTTTGCAAGGGTTGTGGTCACGTCAGAACGCCGAGCTTTGATTGGCTCCGATTGAAGCATAGTGGGTAAGCATCAAGGCAGCTTGCTTCGAGGTCCACTCACTGCCCTTTAGTGGGAGCCAATCAGTGCTTGGCGTCATTCTGACGTCACCGCAACGCCTGCACAAGAAGCAGACGACTTGCCTCCGCATACCGTCGCGCTCCGCATGCGGCGATGCAGATCAAAGCTAATGGGCGCTTCGCAGATCTTCTACTTAAGACGTTCGCGGGGGGGAGAAAGAAGTAGGACTTGTCTTTTAGGTGCTATTGGTTCGAGGCACTCACAGTGAACATCCAGGTTCCAAGAGTCCTCGAGGACCAGGTTTCGCGGACTGGGAACGGAGTTAGTCGCAACGCAGCGGAGCCTGGCAGCGTGATCCATGTTCGACGGCACGAAGTGGAGGACGCCCAGGGTCGTGTTGGGAGACATGACGTGCGTCTCGGTGTCATTGAGTTGGTACGGCCCTAGGAACCAGTGAACGGAGGCGCCAGGACGTGACCCGTTCACCTGGCAGATGACCTGGGCCGAGAGGTCGGCGGACAGGGGACCGCGGGGGCCCTTGATTTCCACCGACACCGGTTGCACTGGAAGATACAAAGAACGAATGGTAGAATTTACTAGTAGTTAACCAGAGCGGTCAAGTAACTAACATCGACCATTTAGAATTAAAGTAATCAAAGTTTTATTTTTCGAACAAACGGTGGAGACACCAAGGTGCACTGTAAGTACATCGTCACGGGGAACGTCGCCTTTGTGCGTTTGCAATTCCTGGTTAATCTAATTACACACACAAAACAAAGCCTAGGATTACGTCGTATTCCGCCAAACAAAGCTGAGGATTACGCCGTATTCACTGCGCGAAATTGGTTTATCTGGAGGCAAACGCACAAAAGACGACACACTTTCGGCGAAATTTTCCGTTTGATTGAAAACAAAGTATAGTAACTTGTGTTTGTTGGTGACTCGTATTAATCAAATTACGATCCCGAGCCGATCTCACGTTCGGAATGCATGAATAACGTCCGGCTCACTTTTTGCTGATGTTTCAAAATGAAGATAAAAAAAACTACAGGGTAAATGATTTTATTTCGAACACTTTTTTTTTTTTTTTTTTAAGTGGCTGAAAGTTAGACGAGTTCTGTCTTCACACTGTGCTTTTTCAGGCTCGAGGGAGATTATATGAGTTAAGATTGTCACGGCAAGTTGACTAATTACCTAGAATCTCCTAATTAACTTTTTATAAGTATTTGTTTTACAGGTTATGTTTAAATTGTAGTATTCAGGGTACTAGAGGCCGGACCAATTAAGAGCATTTGCAAAAAGGTAATGGTTTCTGAGATATAAATCTATCAGTGTTCTTGTTCTTTTGCCCGGTATAAAAAACGCGCTCAAAAAGAGCGTCCCAAGCCCTGTCCGCAATGACGCTTGGAAAAGTGGCGTCGTCCTTTCAATCATGTCAACAACTCGGCAGCGTGTCCTGGGTGGGTGCGCCGACGTCGGGACCTGAGCGACAACGTCACCCTTCTAAACGTCATTGTGACCAGGGTTTATGCGCTTTGCTTATGCCCAACTGCAGCGTCTTTCGGTATTAAAGCGGGAGAAGGGAGGGGAGGGGGAAGATGGGAGGGGAGGGGGAAGGGGGATACACACACAAAGAAAGGCAAAAATAAATTAACAGGTGATCATCTTCAACAAGTTATGAACTAGCAAGAAAACTCGAAAATTGTTCTATTAATATCTCTAGCACCATTCGTTTTTTCTCGAATTCTTTAAATTAGTCTCGCATCTTATAATAATTGCCCTCAATACTGCATTTTTAATAAATCCCCCAAAATCACTCATTAAAAAGTTGACTAACGAGTAGTTAAATAGTGAACTTAGCATAACGATTATCCCTTCATTTAATGTCCGCGAAGCCTTGAATACATGACAAAAACGGCACTCCTCAAACTCTCATCCCTCTTTTCTTTTATTCAATTGTTTGAATTAAATGTAAACAACCTGTATACAAATACTATGCGGGTGAGCTGAGTTGCTAGACCGTACTAATGTACTCAATATTCCAATCCTAAATATGAACATTTGTGTATTTGCTCTGGTGCATAAGCATCTAGCAGGAAATCAAATTCCACATTGCGAGTATTGCGCAAATAATGCTACTGATACGAATAAAAATTAATGACGCCTATAGGTGATATCGCTCCGTGCTTCCGTGAATTTCTTAACTCACTCCAAGGCCTAAAATATATATCGCAAATGGCAATAAATGTTTCACAAAGACAGTTCGAATTTCCTGCTAATAAAAAATTTGAGTGTTAAATGGAACATGACGGCTTACACTGACTAGGAAACCTGAGAATGGAGTTCCGGCAAGTGGAACACACATCAAATGTCAATCCTCTTTGCCATCGTTAACATTTCTAAAATAACTACGCAACCAGATAAATTTTAATGACTTTTTAACAAAATTATTGGTTACAATTTAAATGGCAATCATTTTGAAAAATAAAATGTTGAAACGAATATCATCGGATTCCAATTAGGATGGCAGAGAACAATTACATAACAATATCTCTTCTATACGTTCAAGTTACAAGATGTTGTGTTATTTTCAGACACTGCCAAACATCCTAAATAAAAACAATTCACGACAATCTTTGCATGCGCTACAATTAAAATTGCAAAATAACGCACCAACATCTCGCATAACATGCTTCCGATTTTGAAACGCTAGATACAAAGTTCGAACACACTTTGTTTTTACCTTCACTATTCAAGTAATTCAAGCGCACATTTCACAGACGTTTCAACGACAAAGTTTCGGTAGTTTTAGATTGTCACAAAAATATTAAATAATATTTTAAAAATGATATGTGCGTCTAACCCTAAATGCGATTTTAACAAGATATCTTGCCACTGCCGCAGCTTAAAAAGATGCAAGCCTGTATGCCAACACTTTTTTTACGCCCATTTCTATACCATTACGGTACGGCCAACAGAAGAGAACAGAACAAACAAATCGACTCATTTGTCGCATAAACTTGGGGCCGCATACATTCGGACAACAAAACAGCCTTTTCTGCCCGCAGCAGCACGCGACATCAAAGGATGCCCTTCACCAGTCAAAGACGAAATATAAAAAAAAGGCGCTCGTTCTACGAACCCGACAACATCGTCCGATCTTTGCATACGCCGTCCGCATGCTCCGCGACCCATAGCGAACCAGCCGAGCCAAACGCGTTTTCAACGACCGACTCCGCGACGTTCAATTCGTACATTACAGTCCTCTACGAAAGCCTGCAACGACTATAGCCAAGCAATGGTCGCTTTTTTGTATAGGACTACTTCAGCGTCGTCTTCCTCAAAGGGGCGCGCGGGCGATCGCTGTTATCCTTTGCTCAAACAACGTGCTACGGCTCTGATCAGGACCCCCCTTCCCGTTTCCATAGAGAACAACGGATGTCGTAGCGTCGTGGTACAGAAATGGTCCAACCCGCCCCCCATCCCGACTTTCGCGACAGTTTTCTGAACGCGAAGGCCATTGTAAAAATGTCGGGTTGGGGCCGTCACAGCAGCGTAGAGAGTATGCTCGCCAGAAAGGAAGCCTTTGTGTCGTCTCTTGAACAATGGTGCTGCGCGCGCGCCTCGCTATGCTACTGCTTCCCGAGTTTAATTGCAATAGCGGAACAGGGATTTGAGCACCCCCCTCCCCCGGTTCGTCCCTCAGAGAAGATCGCTGATTTTCTCTTCGTATTTTCACCGACCGATCGATTCTCATAACGTGTTCAATTTTGAGTTTGTCTTGTTTCCGCGTTGCCGCCCGTTGTGCTTTATTTGCCTCGGTGTAAGCGTTCGCCGATTTACCGCCGCCAATCTGTCGGTGCTCTGATTGGTCTTTTCCTACGCGTTGCTTAGTCTTGATTTGCGTCTGTGAAAACGGTTATTGATTTCTGCCTCCGACCTGTAGCCGGTCTGGTTGAACTAATGGCTCATGAGGGATTGCGAGTGGGAACGCCACTCGCAATTGAGTTGGACGCCAACATGTTTCTGCTCGTGAGAGCTAACACGTGCACGTGAAAACACGGCAAAGTTATCTTCACGCGCTATGATGCACGTCGTTGCACGCGTGAGCAAACACCCGTGGCACCATGCAATTTTTCTTGTAAAGGGCCGTCGAAACAAGACACGTTTCCTGCTGTGCACAGCAAAAAGAAAAAGAAAAAAAACGTGAACGTTGTATTTCTTTTTTTTTAAGCGTGAAAGTTCCAGCGCTTGCGTACGTTTTCTGTGGGGACATCAACCCCGCAAAAACCTCGGCTTTTCCGCCTCCTCACTGTCGTCTACATATATCGTGTTTTCGAAAGGTTAGGAACTGACAACAATAGCGGGGACTTAGCGAACAGCCGGCAGAGCGTGTGGGTCCGGACCTACGTAATGAGAACGCTCCAAGGCTTTATTTGTGATAAAGGCAAAAAATAGCTTCGCCCCCTCCCCCTCTCCGAAAAAAAAAAAAAAGCCACAAAGCGGAGAAAAAACCTCAGCTTCCTGTCTCCAGGAAATGCGGTGCACAGAAGAAAGCCCTTCACAGTGTATATCTTGGCGCCAACTTTTTTTTTTGTGCTGTGTTATTAAGGTTTGATTAATTCTTCATGACTTTCTCGCGTCTGTGTATGCTATTCCTATTATGTCGATGAATCAACAAAAGCCCCGCAACCCACTCTTTTACCTAAACTGCTAAACTACGGTTTGACTAATAGGCCCACGGATCCACTCACAGTACATGTTCACCGTGATGCTCGTGGAGACCGGCTCCGTGACGTTGCTGTTGGCGGCGGTGCACGTGAGCTTGGCCAAGTAGTCCTCGCGGGTCAGCTTGAGCCGGAACAGAGTGGCTCGAGGGTTGCCGTTTGGGGTGCGGCTCAGCACTTGCTGCAGTAATTCAGCGCCTCGCCACCAGGTCACCATGGGTTCAGGTTTTCCTGTACGGAGGGAGAGCGATGGACAAAACAAGGGTTCCAACTCCAACGGTATAGTACTGCGCACCAACGCGTCGATTAAAAACAAGCTCTCGTTTGCCCACACCGAGTGTGGACACTGCGCCTGCGGAGAAACTAGAAACGCACGAAATGGAGCATCTGCGCATTCGTACTACCGGCAGCAGCGCCACCGCAGCGAACAGACGACGGAGGGTTGAGTTCGTGTATACTCTGTTTCCTCAGAAGCCAGAACCATACCCTCCTCTATACTGACAAAGCATGGCAGATCACCACGAGATGCAGCCGCCATAATGGAAAAGATAGAGCGGCAGACAACGGATGAGAGGAGAGCCAGGTGACAGGCGCCCCGCTGCGGCGAGACGCCGAAACACACTTCTCCCGAGCGATGGAATGTCCGCTCGTGCTCCTCATGTTCCTCGCGCTACCGCCTTTTTTTCTCGTCGGGTTTGAAAACAATGTTTCGGGTCCTCGTTGCTGCAAAAGCTATGCGCTCAATGCCAGGTTCCCCGAGAAATGCTCTTTGCTACCACATCTTCGCTCTCCACATCTGCGACTGGGAACTCTATGACTCCGTCATTGAACTGCCAGACTTTGTGAGTATAGGGGAGGCTATGCCAGAACTCAGTGGGCGCTATGACACGGTGGGACCAATAAAGCAGAAACAAAAGTGCCACATCGCTGCTCTTTCCATCTCTCTCTACGCATGTTATCCAACGCCCCCCTAGTAATGATTAGAGCCCGTTCACTATACTTTGTTTAAACTTAAGTCGACCGCAGCCAAGGCTACAATCCGATGAAGACAAGCAGCACCAAAAGTGCACTGTCACAACCAGAGCGACTGAATAAACTATGCTTCAGAGTAACGACAATGCTCTCATCTGCGTGCTTAAAATCATGATTGCCAGTTATCCGAAGCTGTGTCGGAAATAAAAATAACCAGTAAAAAAAAACTTTTGCTTTAAGTTTTTGTTTTCTTCTGACTTTAGTTTCGCGCAGTTTCTGTAGAACAAAATTTGCTACGTCCTTGTTATTTCTGTAGAAATATCCACTCTATGCTTGAAACATTGTGGGAAAAACGTTTTCAGACATGTAACCAACAGGGTTTTCTCTTGAAAATGAGAACTAGCGTGTGTTATGGAACTTTCTAAAAATATTCTTGGTCTTCAGACGTTTCGTGGAGGCCTGACTCATTGAAATTGCGTGTGATGTTTAAGTACTAAAGAATGAACTGTAGAGATTGTTTTTGTCCGCTTGCTCCGTAAGTGCTTCCGTGTCAGTCGAAAGCAAAAAAGGGTTCTTTCGTAATCAATTTTAGATTCCCCGAGTAAAAATAGTTTCCCACGTAAAACTACCCTCTCTACATGCACACAGCGAGTGGTAAGTTTCTTTTCTCAATCTTATAAATCTGCGTTTTCCCGCGGCCCCGCGAATCACTTTCCTCCATAAGTTCGCGTAAGAATAGACAAAGCTCCAATTCCTTAGTTCAAATAAAACAATGCACTCTTACTTTCACTCTGTTTACTGTTTTTATTGGGTTTTTTACAAGAACTATATTGTTGTTGTTATTATTGTTTTTTTTTTGTTTGTTTTTTTCATTTACCGGAGAACTATGTTTTACGAGAAAACCCCAAACTCACTCGTCCACGCAGCCCCAAGCATACGCAGCATCGATTCTACAGAACCGCGCCGTTATATTAACAAGAAAACTGTCTTGACATTTTTCTCCTTATCACAAACATTTTTAACGGTGAAGAGTCGCCAAACTCCGCTCGCTTTCGAGACAAATAGATCTGATCCTGCACAACTAAATCATCAGCTCCCAAAAAAATCAATCCCCCCCCCCCTTTTTTTAAGAAAACTAAAACCTAGACACACATGTCGCCAGTCTAACGCTCCCCTCTCCCCTTCTCCTTTTTACGAAGTTTAAAAAGAGCGCAGCCGTAACCATCTCGAACCGGCGTCTTCGGCAAAAATACCCTCCCCATCCCCACCAGCAGCCACCATCCATTCTTTATGCCCCGAAACCTCCGCCGAAGCGTGACTCGGTCGCCACCAAACACACGCGTTCGCCCTCCAGTCGACGACATGCGCGATACCATGCGCGTCCCGCTAAGCAAGCTCTCTCTCTCGCCCTCGCTCAATCCGCGTCATTTATAATGCAGGCCCCGACCCAGTTGCCCGCACTTTTTTTTTTTTCAGACTCCAAAACGGACTCGGAGCGTCATCGGCGACGATGGCCATCGGTTTCGGAGCAGCGCACAACGTCACTCGCAAGCCGACGACGACGATAGACGTCGACCCTGGGAACGATACAACATCATAGTTTCTACGATCGTTTTGGCTCTTATTCGCTGATCCGAACGTGAGCCCATTTTTGGAGCGGGTTTCGAAGGAGGAGAGGGAGGCGAGGGGGAAAGGCGCCTGCCTTATCTTCTAGGGGTTATTGGGGGGGAGGACCTTTCGGCTCTGGGATCTCTCTACCAACGAAGACAAATGTTCGTCGCGTTTTTACGACTCCCAGGGTGGAAAACGCAATCCGCTGCAGCTGGATTCTCGACGCGACTTCTGGTTGACGGGGTTTTCGAGGAGAGCCAAGTTGTTTATTTACCAAATAAAGTTTTCGAAAAAAAATTACAAACATTAGGGGGGAAAGGGCACGACGAATGGGTTTAACCTCACCAAATGTCGTCACTGGACGCGTCTTTATTATGTGCGTCGGTGGGCATTGAAAAAAAAAAAAAAAGCAAAACAAAAGTCTGAATTTTTTTTTTCTATTTTTTTTTACTGACGTATTGCAGTCAATGCTGGGCTTGCAGTTGATTATGGGTGTTTTTTTTTATATTCTGCCAAAGCTTGACGTACAATTATGCTTTTGAGATGGGCCTTTGATTGCATCGTATGAAATTAAAAAAAAGACTGTCGTAATGTGCAAAACAAAAAGGTAGCATTGAGACTGCCATGGCTAGAGCTCCTAAATAGGCACCCCGTAGGACAGCAAGAGTTACGCGTCTTTTTCCACGTGCCGCCGCTCCGCTATTAGCTGAAATCAATCACGTGACAAAGAAAAACCCAATGCTACGAAGGAAAGGCTCTACTACGGCCGCTCCACAGCTCTGTTAGCAGCTAGCCGCTAACTATGCCACTAGCCAACTGTGCTTATGTTCTTTGCTTTTGCATGAGGCCGTATATCATCCATTCATATTCGGTATATTATCCATGTATCATTAACATAGGCATTTCGACGACGACGAAGACAGATGGTGGTCCACTGCCCGCCTACGTCTTTCGAGATTCCGGCCCATTTGGATACGCTTCTCACCATGCTGCAAGCCAAAAACGTGGACATCAGGCGTGTGACCATCAAAGGCTGACGGAGAACACTTGCGGAGCCATGGGAACGTTAGTATACCACCGCACACGAACTCGACGGGACTAGGCCTATCCACTTGGCCTAGAGGGCTATGTTGCGCTTTTTGCACTCCCAGGAGACTTGGAAGAGGGAAGTGACGTCAACGACACAGCAAACGCAGATTGGATGTTGACAGAAGAAAACGAAATCAACACCCAATCTGCATTTGCTGTGTCGTTGACGTCACTTCCCTCTCCCTAGTCTCCTGGGGGGCTATGTTGCGCTTTTTGCACTCCCAGGAGACTAGGGAGAGGGAAGTGACGTCAACGACTAGAGCAAATGCAGATTGGATGTTGACAGAAGAAAACGAAATCAGCACCCAATCTGCGTTTGCTCTGTCGTTGACGTCACTTCCCTCTCCCTAGTCTCCTGGGAGTGCAAAAAGCGCAACATAGCTCCCCTGGGAGTGCAAAAAGCGCAACATAGCCCCCCTAGTCCGTGAAGAGTGGCTTTCCCGCGTAACTTTGAATTTCAAGATGGATGAACGCGCAACTCTGTCTTCTAGGGGAGCTTATATACAGACCCTCTAGCCATGGCGACACTGCCAAGAAGTGAATACAAAGAAGAAATGCCTCGAGGTACACCTAAGCTTTTCTTATGAGTTGTGAATGCGAAAGCATGCACGTCATTTTTCCGCTCCCTTACTTTATCTGCAGCGTACTTGCGCCGACGGTCAAGCGCGCGCGTTAGCTCTCCTCGGCGCGCTGACCTTGGGCGTGGAGCGATGTAGCCGCTGCCTCGCGGACACGCAGCGCCATGGGGTGGCGGTCGTTGAAACTGAAGCGCAGCGGCCAATGGGAGCCTCGTCGACGCGCGCCAGTCAGTGGGACCGAAACCGAAATCCATTAACTTTACTCCGCTCCTTTGAGATCGGGGAAACTAGGTGCCGATTGGCTACCCTTTTCACGTGGTTTCATAGCTCGGAGCTGGCTTCACTTGGAAAAAGGATTTAAGGTGCCGTTTGGCGCGGTTTCAAAGCTGATGACGTCGGCTCGCTCCATGGGACATTAAAAAAAAAAAGTCCCGGCGTAATTCTGTCGAATACACAGAACCGAACTCCACATGGGAAGTAAACCCCTCTTGTGGAAGTGCTTCACATGTTTCCCTTCATCGCTCCAGCTGACTCGCAGAGGCCGTAGCTTTCACCTCCTTCCACCAGACTGCCGGAACACGGAAGATCGATGCTCATCCATACTAAACCACCACAAACCTCGGTGTGGATTTGAGTATCAAGGAAGTGAAAGTCAGAATGCTGGCGGACGCTTGCTGACGTTACTTTTGAATAAAAAAGTCGCTTTAACTCCATTTTACGCTCAGAACCTATTGTCACGTTTTCTGGTGCCGACGTTCATCGCATTCAAGGGACATTGTAATCCAACCTGGAAATGGCTCAAGTTCGTATCTTTCCGTCCCCACACATTGTGAAAGGCTCTCACTAACCGTCGTAAACGTCACAGGTGAGCGTCAAGTCGTCTCCTTCCAAGTATGGACGAGTCATGTTCTCGATGGCGGTCCCGTTTTCGTCCAGGATCAGGGGCTGCTTCGGAGGCACTGCGCAGAGGCAAAACAAAGGGGTGATCAGGGTGAGAAAGACAGCTGACAGAACTAACCGCCTTCGAACGCATTAAATGGGACTGATTCTATTGGGCAATTTATGTTCCGGCAACCGTAAAGACCCATTCCCACAAGGCAAACGAGAAACTCCACATTGGTCGCCGCGGATTAAACACAGTAATTGGGATAACCACAATAGCCAGTTGTGTATACAGCACACATTTTTCTTTTGCAAAAGAAATACTAACCTAACCTAAAAAATAGTTGTTTTTTTTTATGCGAAGGTATGAACTGGTCCCATGGAGCGAAGCCGGCGTTGTCTGTAACCGTCTGTAGCAGAAAAACGGCACCTAAATTCCCATTCCCAATAAAGCACAAGAAAAAGCACAGCAACGCCGGTGCTTCGTCACGGAAGCCGGCGGGTGCGCTCCAGGTCAAAGCGAACGAGCTTTAGAAATAAAGCACAAAGAAAAGTACAGCAACGCAGATGCTTCCTCTCGGAAGCCGTCGTGAAGCCGGCAGGGTTCGCCGCGCGTGCGCAGTAGGAGAGCGTGATGTCAACGCCGGAGCGTCGTGTGCGAAAGCAAGACGTGGCGCACTGCCCGAGGAAATGCGCTGCGTGTAGGAATGCTTTTGCATTCCTGCACATTAGCGGTCTTTAGTGTGTCTGCCAATTTTTTTTTTGTAAGCTTTTTAGATTTGTTTTAAAAAGCCGTGAAAGCTACATTTGTGCGGTTTGAGCAGGTGCGTTATACGGCTAGGGGGGGCATAGTGTACGAGGCTAATCATAAAGGTCGATGGGCTTATTAAATAAAATGTGTTAATGAACTTTTTATATAGTGAAAATAGACCACACGTGCAGCACTCACGCGAAGGTACCTTTGACAGGCTTCCAATCACTCGTGCTCACTTCACGAGCACCGAGAAACTGAAGCCTGTCAAAGGTACCTTCGCGTGCGTGCTGCACGTGTTTGAGGCTCGTCGGTGTCGGTTGTCTCTGTTTGTCGCTGTAGTGTGACTCGGGCATTAGGGACATGAAGCCAAAGATACAGACGTGTCAACTGTTCCGTCGGTGGGACTGAAGTTCGCGACAAAACTCGGCGAAATACACCGACAAACCGAGTCGGGCGACGCAATTATCTTGTTTTGCTATAGATAAGGCAAATAGCCGCCGAAAAACACCGCGAAAGTAAGGTAATTTCTTTTTCGGCACACACTGCGTGCCAACAACGTGCCGCTCGTCTACTACAGGGTGCCACGTGTTCGTGCAGAACACCTCTGATTGGATACATTCCGAGTTGTTGCATACATATGACAATGCCCCGAAAGGAAATGGGGCTAGCAGACTTGATCTGTGGTTGGAGTACCGTCTGCACCAAAACTGCTTTTCCGGCGTGCTCATCATTCACAAATTCGATTTTCTATGAGTGAATTTAATAAGAGCGGTTAGCCATTTGTGTCCCTTGTGTATTAACGCGGTAACGTTTAGGAGCTCTCCCGGCAGAAAAGCCGGCGTCCGTGACCGCGGGACGAAAAAATCCCGGCATGTCTCTGGTGACGTCAAACATCATCCTCGTGACGTCACACGTGAGGTCGCGTGTGACGTCGACTATTTGGCTGGTAAATTTTCCGCCAAATTTAGCGGGTCGACAGGGCCACGGCGTCACAGTCACGTGTGACGTCACGTGAGACGTGACGCTACCGACTAGCCCACACACACACTTGCACGGCTTTGGAACGAGCGCGGGTTTATATAAAAAGACCTTGCGAACGGTGCCCGATAACGCTATTTCGTCCCACTTTTAAAAAAAAACCTAAAAAAGAAATGTCTTTAACAGTCTGGTAGGGAATCGGGACACGCGTGTCAAAAAAAAAAATTAATTTTACGCGAAAAACAAAATTTGGAGCAATATTGACGGCGCGAGGCGTGATTTATTCGGCCGTCACCTCCTTTTCACTTGTTTTGTCTCTCAGCATTTCGGGCACGTGGAGAAACGGTGGATCGGCTTCGCCTTCACGATCGAGATGGTCATTCCGGAATGACCCGTGACGTCACGGACTTGGCGGGCAGAACTTTAAATAAATCTCGCGCCGTCAATATTGCCCTAAATTTTTTTTGTGCAAAATTTATTTCTTGACACGCGTTTCCCAACCAGATTGTTAAAAAAAAACATTTTTTTTCTTTTTAGAGGTCTTTTTTAGAGGCCCTTTGAAGGGCGCATAAGAAATGTATTTTTGCATTTTTTTAAGGACTCAGCTTTTCAAAGCAGGCTCTATGGCAGTTTTCCAACTGCGTTGTTCTAGCAACGTTGCTTGATGGGCATCTGGATGCCGCCATGTATGTGCTCGTGCGGGCGAGCACGTGCAAGGGCAAGCTTGCCAAAGCTACGTTCACGCGTGCGCTGCACATGCTTGCACGCATGGAGAACCACTGAGCTGCCATGCTTGCAATTGCCGAAAGTGAGGCACACTAACCGAAACATTCGAGTAGTTAGTACGTACGATGTGACGCAGGAATCGAACACATTATCTTCATAATCGTTCATTTCTAACACACATTCAGTCAACCTGTGGGAGGCACACAATCGACTCTAAAGCCCTTCGGTGTCTACAATTTGATCGAGGGATTTATGTGGGTTGAAGCGTCATTCTGACCCCTGGTATCTTTGTCACCATCGAAACTGAAAGTTGTTTAGAAAGAACAGTACAGTGGACATTTCCTCGCCTGCTATAGGAGGTATTCACTGGACGCCATATTTGAGGGCGATGTTTAGAGCGCATGCCCAGAACGAGCTCACATTAATTGCCTGCTAATTGACCGGCTACCTTGATGGTGCTAAATGCACGCTCCAAAAGGACTGGGGAAGCTCGCCGTCAGCACGCGCTCAGCAGCAGCGCACACGGATATGGCCGCCAGTGAATACTCCCTATAGACTTGCGAACGTGACGGAGTCCGATAAAATTCAAGGTCATTACCGCCATCGGTATTGCAAAAATTTAACTTCTTATTAGCCACCAGATGGTACTGAATTTTGGGAATGCTCTATGTCTAAAGCCCTTTCATGGTTCCTGCCGTTCACAGTTACGTGGGTTCCGTATCTGGTATGCGGGACAAAAAAAAAAGGGAAAATACATTTCAACCTGGAATATGCGCGACAATATAGGCGAGGCAAAACGAGAATGTGTGACAATCACGCATCTTTTTGTAAACACCATCCATTGGCGTGGAGAGATCAAAACGTTGTTTTACCGCCTACTAGAAGTGACTACATACAAGATGGCTGCGCCCCTGTAGAAAAAGTGTATATACTTCACCTCACAAAAAATCTGCAGTGCAGACAACGGCATGGGCACGAGCGCCTGACTTTGGAAAGTGCCTCCTATGCACGTGGTCTCGTTCAAACAAAAACATTCTGCTAAACTAGGTTCACGCGGCTCTGCTTCTTACTTTAATGGATACATTTAAAAGAGGGAGCATAGGGGCAGATTATGTAACACTTCACTGCCTGAAGGCAATCAAGGTGAGCGCAGGAGACACCAGACAGCTGAAACAACTGTCTCCAAAAATGTCACCAAATAAGAGCCCAAAACTGGGAAGGTCGAGCGGCCGGATGTGACAGAAGCCCATTTTGGAGCATATCTAAAGAAACACAGAGATTCTTGAAGCAGGCAAGCGAAACTTGAAAAAGAGCCTTATAGAAGCATCAGCAATCTCAAGTAACTTTTTTTCAAACCTCTCTGAACAAGCCTATAATGAACACGAACCTTTTCTTTTTCTGTCCGTCGCCATTGTCACAGGCGAGTGGTCCTAGGCCACACAATTCCGATTTCGCTTAATGGCATTCCATCCCCACCACGTCCCGATCGCCATCTATTTTATTTAGGCGTTTGTCTCAAACCTCTGTACTTCCTGGGAATGTATTTCCTACATTCGACGATTTGGCGTACCTTACAAGTAACCCACCATCTGAAAGTAAAACGTTCTTCTACCGAAAAACGATTTTCTAATCCTTGAAGTTTCCTCGCGTGTACGGCCGCTTAGTTCCCAACTGCCGCACAATACCCAGGCTACACTCTAAAAAAAACCCGTGCGGCTACTTTCCCGCACAACACTCGGAGAGCCAATCACCACAACTTACGGAAGCAGCTCAGCAAATGACGATGCTGAAACATATGTTTAGAACAAAAAACGCAGCCTGAGTTGTGACATTAAGCAATGCAAAACGTCACGCTTGCATTGCTTAATGTCACAACTCAGACTGCGTTTTTTGGTCTAAACATAGGCTTCGGCATCGTCATTCGCTGAGCTGCCTCCGTAAGTCGCGGTGATTGGCTCTCCGAGTGTTGTGCGGGAAAGTATACGCACGGGCGTTTTTTAGAGCGTACCTGTGAAAACACGCATGAAAAGCGACCCTTCCGCAACATCTTAACTGCGAACCACCTCTTGACATACGTCGGCGTCTCGCTCCCCTCTTGCCCCTCTATAAGGAGTATTCACTGGGCGCCATATTTGTGGGTGATGTCTATAGCGCATGCTCTGAACGAGCCTACATTAATAGGCTGCTAAGACCGGCAATCTTGAGGGTGCGGAATGCACGTGACAAAAGAACTGTGGAAGGTCGCCATCAGAAACGCGCTCAGCGGTCGTGCACACAGCCATGGCCGTCAGTGAATAGTTCCTATAGTCCCATACATCCAGAACATCTATACCCGGTTTCGACTTAAGATGGACCGCTGCGGTCACTACGGCCAATCCTAGCCAATGCAGCGCTATAGATATATCGCGTTACTACCCACTCCACGAGCATCCCTGCTCTCCTTCCGAAGCTCACGTGACACTCCCATGGCATATGATTAACTTCGGTGGCTTATAGACGCTTTACACACGCGCCAGAATACAGCCGCCATTGCTGACCTTCTCTTGTTTCACCGAGATACCGAGGCACTGAAATTGGTGTGGACGAGCCTCCACAAAAGCCAATGCTGGGGAGAAAGGT